ATGTCTATATCTTCATGTCTGTATGTGTAATTGTGTTGTCTTCTAGGTACCAAATTGGCTTATAATTAATGCATGCTCATTAAATAACTAAGTATATTTTCGAGTTCACATGACTTAAATTTTCTAAAGTTTTGATAAATATATTTTCAAAATTTGATTTAAACCTTTTACCTAAATTTGTATCTAGGTCAATATGTCTGCTTATTACCTCAACTCTGCCTCCTGGCCATGCTGGGAGAAACAATATCTTTTAGACACTATCTTTGTGAATACTGCCCTCTGCCTCTCTGGATTCCACTCAGTTCTAAATGCCACATGGAAACCTGGGACCCAAAATGGCTAGAGACAGGAGACCTATGCCCAATATCACATAGGCCCTAGTTAACAAAAACTGATAAGGGTATAGATCTAATACACCAAGTTTTTGGCTGGGAAACCATAAATATGTATTTGGTAAAAACAGCTAAAACTCAAACTGGGCTTTGTATAATTTGCTCTGATAAATGGATGCCTATTTACTAACCTGAATGTATAAAAATGTTCTTACCAGCACACATCATTGCCTGGGTTTACTAATCAAACAGAATTACTAGAGGTCTTTTCACTTGACTGCTCGTAATACAAAATCATAAAAGGTTTTCTTTGTCTCTTAGATAACCTGTTGAAGAAACTTATTTCATGATAATTTCTTGTACTCTCTGCCTTTAAAACCCTTTGTCACTTTGGTTTTATTTTTGTAATAATTTGTGATTTTATTCAACTGTTTTAAGCCTTTTGTTATTTGACAAAGCTTTCCAAAACTAAATTCTGAAAGTTCAGCCTTTTGGTTTAAACTAACTTTGAGGAGTTCCAAGGGCCCTGGAGCTTCTCAAAGGATATATAATAGATGTATCAAAACTAATTGGCTTATTTAATAAATTAGACTATATGGGAAAAGCATTATCAGTACTGAAGGTGTTATGAATATGTGTTCCAAAATCTTGTAAGGTTCTTGAAAAGCTGGGTCTTGATATAAATGCTACTGTTCATAATCTTGGCTCAATTATAATTTTAAAATGTTAGGTCTTCAAATATTTCATGAAAAAAACTGATAGGTACAGTTTCCTGACAAATTTTGAGTCCATAGCTTTAAACTAAAGTTCCAAAATCCTAATGCTGATGGGTTTGTGAAATTGTTCACAAAGGTCAAAACAACAAAAGTTAATTAGTGAACTAATTAAAAAGAATTATGGGCTTTTACAATTTCCTTATTTTAAAACACTGCTGGTTCTCCTAATGTTTTTCCAAATGTAAGAAAACTCTCCCTCTCTCTTAAGCTATCTATAACTAACAACAGTTTGGTAAAATGTCATTTAAAACAGAAGTAAAAGCATTTGTTTTCTCCCTATTTGATCCCCCAAAACTTAATAACTTTAAGTATCTTCATGATTTTTATGGCAATGTGGCTATTTTTATAAGTTCAATGAAAATTAACTCTCTCTTTATAGCAGGATGTAATTTAAAACTTTGGATATAAGATAGCATGTCTCACTTCTAGGTTCTGACCCCTCTTTCATGTTGCCTTAATTTGGCCTAACTGCTGCTTCATCTTGCTGTTCATCTTTCCCCCTTTGACGTGGGACAGAACACAACCTGGAGATGAGCCTTCCCAGCACAGTGGGATTTATACAAAGAAAAGACCTTTTCAATCAAGATATCAATCATCAATGCTTTTATGAGGAATACCTTGATCATAAAGGGGGAAATAACATCTTCTCTACAAAAGCAGTTCTCTAAATTTTCCTGGCCTTGAAGAGGGTGTTTGTAACTTGGATGAGACATCCTGTTCTTAAACAAAAGATTTATAATTGATCAAAAAATTTTATGAAGACTAGATGCTTTGAAAGCAGTGATATCCTGGACAGTTTAGCTTCAACAAACTCTCTGGACTCAAAATCAACTACTATATGGAGCAGAATTCCATTCTGGAGTTTCCACAACTGGTAATTACACCCAATTCACAGCACCTGGAATGATGCCGATGCAGCCACTCTGAGATGCTGCAGCCACTCTGATGATGACATCATCAGCCCTCACCTGAAGTAAATTAAAAGGACTTGCTATGCTAAATGATACTAACTTTGCTTTACATGCTTTTGTCTTAACTGTGAAAACCTGGTCTATAGCTTTTGCTTTTTCTTTTAAATAAATAAAACGGGGGAGAGATGTGGAGTATGCATAAAGCAAATGTACTTCATAGTGCCTGGTTTTCCAAAGCCTTGCAGTTTTAAATATTGACCTTGCAAAGGACAGGAAATTTTCCCCAGGCTATAGTCTCTGTTTAAGATAAAGAACTGTAACACAGCAAGGTTGCTGGCTCAAAGACAGACAGGTTACTGACTGATATGTAAAGATACTGGGACATTGCTGTAAGAAGAGAATGTTTGCTAAGATCAAGCTTTTGTTGGTGGATCAACTTAACTTCTGGCAAACTGCATTATGGAATGCCACCTTGCTTTTTGTAATGAATGTTACCAGCTTCTACTGTTAAACTTGTTAAACTACACTTAGCAAAAACCCCACCTGTGTTCTCTAGCTGTAACTTCCTGGTCTGGAGAATAAATGCAGGAAGAGAACCCCAATTCACGGTTAATTTCCCAAATGGAAGGATGCCTCTATCTTGAGGGTTCCAGGAGATTAACTCCTTTTTGGGGCTTCTCACTGCTCAAAAGAGATGGGCTTTGAGAAATCTTTGGACTCCTTCACCCGGGGGGAAAAGGGGTGACAAGTCCGTGGGAGGCAAAGCAACAGAGTTAAATCTCTGCAAGAGACTGTACGGCACACAGAGCCTAAAATATTTACCATTTGGCCATTTTGTTGAAGCCACAAAACTTCTTTCAGTTTCTGTTTCCTCTTTTATAAAGCGTGCTTTCAGTTTCTGTTTCCTCTTTTATAAAGTGTGGCTAATTTCTCCAGTCTACCTCAGGCATTACAGAGAAAAGAAATTAAACAGACCCTACTGTTTATTCTGAACAATGTATCTCTTGTGCCAATCACAGGGCCTGCTACACAGTATATATAAGGTAAATATTTGTTGAACAAAATTAATAAAGTACACCATTTACCTACTACAAACTGTTGAGAGTGGCTAACTCAGAGATGGAGTTAACTGCCATCCCTGAGAGTAAATAATATGTACTTGTTTTTCCTATTATATATGGGTCTTATGTCCACAAACAAGCTCCTCTCTAGATCATAAGAATTTGTGATAGTCATGGTATACACAATTTCAACACACTTTCTCAAATCTCTTCAAAAGGCCAAATCTTAAAAGTGATTTAACACTCCTATAAAATGGTTTACAAAGCATTTTCATTTAACATTACTTCCCCATTCAGCAAATATTTACTGAGTATCTACTATGTAGCATACTTGTGCTTGGCTCAAGGGATACAATGATGGGGGAAAAAAATAGACAAAGGGATCCATGTAATTTTTTTTTTCTTAATAATTCTGCGAGATAGAAAAGGGAGGAATAAGCCACATTTTGCAGAGGGGGAAACAGAAGCTTAATGAAGTTTTGTACCTTGCCCAAATTCACACAATTAGAAACAGGGCAAGACTAATTTTGTCTACCTCTTTCCACCACATCAAAGTGCCTAAAACATTGCTCAATAAAATCAACTGAAAGCAAAAACTCAGCCTAGCCTGTTAGCTTGACCACAGTTCACTTGGTTAAAGTGCCAAACTGATAACAACAAGGTCGAGGGTTCAGATCCCCACCATACTGGCCAAAAAAAAAAGTAAAAACTTGTTAATGATCTGCACCCTGAAATTTTCCCAAATATTCCTGGGAATGCCGCTAAACATGTTCTGTTTGATTTGAGTGGGAGTTTCCCTCCTGCCACAATCTCTCAGAGTCAGAAAGCAGTTGAGAACTCAGGCTCTGATGTCAGACTGTCTGCATTATTAATCCCCAAATCTACTACTTCCTATCTGTGCAGCACTGGACAACTCAAAACCACTCTGAACTTCACATCCCATCTCTAAAACTGGTATGATGATAACGGTAATCCCCTAATAGGACTGTTGTTTGGATTAAATGAGATAACCCATGCAGAGCACTTAGCAAACGGCCTTCTCTTAACACCCAATCTAGTCCTTTGCCCCCACAGGACCCCATCACACTACCTTTTTAAAAAATAGCTCTTTCACCTAAAATAATCTCATTTGCTTGCTTTCTTTTTTAATCTGTCTCCCCTACTAGAATATAAACTCCATGATAGCAGAGACCACGTTTTCTTATTCACTATTGTATCTCTTGCAACTCACAGTGCCTGGAGCATATCAATAAATAACTGTTGAAGGAATGAAGAACTCAGTAAATGTCTAGTAAGACCGTTTAGGTTTCAATTTCCCGGTATACAAACCAGAAGAATATTTACAGTTCAGAGATGCTGGGAAGTCCAAAAGATACAAATGTAACTGGAAAGCTCTTGGTAACACCAGAAAGGTGCTTGGGAAACTCTAAAGGGTGTATCACGAGGTCGCGTTACAATTAGTTGCGGGAATAGTTGAAGCCCTAAGGTAACTGGAAAAGTTCGTGGAAAAATAGAATTAAAAGATAATATAAATCTTTCCATGAAGTACCCTCGTATCTGTCAAGGTTGAAGATACACCCTGGGGTTGCTGAAAGACCAGAGAGAATGCAAGACGCACAGGGGGGTTGCTCCCCACACCTGGAGGGCCCATAAAGAAGAGACAGGTAAGGGCGGGGAGCCAAATACCTCCAAAGGGGACAGCGGCGCAACAGTGACAGCAGCGAATAGACCTGAAAGTGAGACAAGCCTTTTCTTTTGTGGGGGCCCGACCGGCTGGTCCCAGTCCTTCTTGGACTAGCCCCCCCCCTCCCACCGCAGCAATAGGCGGGGGGAAGGGAGGCACTGTCTCCGGTCCAGCTACGGAGGCTGCAGAGGACTTGGCCCGTCAGGGTCTAGTCCCAGCGCTGACAGCAAACTCACCTCAGCCGCCACCTCCACCTCGCCTCACATTCCGGCCCCGCCGCCTTCCCCCCACCCCCCCAAACCCTTTTTTGGCGAAAACCCGCAGTTGAAAGAGGCCTTCCCCTAGGCATAAGTTTGCGAAGTCGGAAGGAACCGCTACGTGGAGAATGAGGGAGCTTGTGAGGTGGACCCGAGGAAAAACCTGCTAAGCGGGATTTAATACAATTCAGCTCTTTGGGTCTTTCGAGGGAAGGTGACTTAAACGGGATTTCAATGAAAAACCCGATCGCTTCGGGGTTTTTTCTTTTTTTCTCTAGTCACGTGATGGTCCTACTTTGTTGTAAAAAATTAAATGACGCATATTCCTCAGCATCTTAATGTAGTGCAACCTAGTGGCGAGTGGAGAAAAAAATAACTTGTCAACTGGGCTTCCTGTGGGACCTCCGGGCTTCTCGTAGTTACGAGCCAGCTGGTAAAAATTAAGTGTGTGCAAAGACTAAGCTGGATATTGTCACCAACAGTTAAGAGATCCTCAGTGACATTAGTAAGAAAACGTAATTTTTAAAAGTCCTGGTCCAGAGCTCATTACAAATGAATATAACTTCTCCAGTGACAGGTTGAGCGAGTGCAAAGGAGCCCTTGTAGTTGCAAAAGCTTTGTGAAGTCAGTAACATTTTGTGCTTTAGGTGGATAGATAGACCACGAGTTTTGCTATTTTTTTTTTATAGCGCCTCACAAATCTTCACTTTTACCTGAAATAATTTTTTTTAAGACCCCGTATGCAAAATGGTGATTTCCGAAACTGCCAGCTGTTCACTATTTCCTGTTGCGAATTAGGAGAAAAACAAAGCACATATCTAAATCTAGACTGTTTAGGATGCTCTAGCTGAATATTACTTAAAAGTTTATTTTTAAAGTTTGCCAAGAAACAAATTAACTTTGCAAAAGAACCAGTAAGTAGAAGTTGCCAAACAGGAACATCTTTTTTTCCCTGAAGTCTCCGGTATGAGGTGATTTTATTAGGCAATCTGCGTTAAGTGGTCATTAATACATCTCTGTAAACATCTTTGTAGGTATGCATGATAGGGGGCAAGATCAAACATGTAGCTGAAAAATCCTTTGTGCCTACATTTAATTTTCCGGAAGGCAGATGACAACTACACATTATCTGCCTGCTTAGGTATTTATTATTGCCAAATAAATCTTCATTGTGTCTGTGTGTGGGTAGTATTTTCTAAGTGGGAATTACAGCAGATGAAAAACAACCCTGTTTTTTTTGTGTGTTTTTCATATTACCAAATATGCTACTCTTTATAGGCATCTTTTTCATTCTCCTTTTTATTCTAGTTGGGTATCTCTGAACACAAACCGTATTAACTGAAAATACAAAAAAGGAAACAAAGTAATTGTGGGTTTTTAATTGATTTTTTTAAAAAAGGTTTTGGCCACAAAACATGACAAGAGCAGAAACATTTTGTGTGACTTTGCTTGGCATTCTTTCAAGTTCAAAACTGTGCCTAGTTTCAACAGGTAAATGCAGTGAATAAAAATGAACCAGTCATACTAAATGGAAGGGCAATTAAAGTCTGAACTACACATACTTTTAAAAGAAATGCAATTTGATTGCTTTCTTAGAAAACTAGCCTAAGCAGAGTACACCAGCCTTTAGAAGACAATTTTATATTTGTGAAAGAGTGCTTTAAGATTTCTCTTAAGAATTCTCATAAGAGTCTCCTGTGAATAAAGAAAAAATTATCTTAAGATATGTTTTCTTAAGTATAGCTTCTGTTAGCTTTATTTCTATTTCTCTGCCTGGCAAACTCTTTTATCAGAGAGTAAAAGTAACTTCCAGTTTTTTCTTTGTTCAAATTATAATCTTCACATTTACGAAACCAATATGAAGATTTATTTTTGTGCTATTTAAGTGGCTACTTTACATTTGATTCAGCTCCTCAATTAACCAAGCTGCTACTGAGGGGGTTTCTCCCCAGCAACTTCTCTTCTGCTTATGTTAGGTTCAGTATTCTGAATTGATACCTAAGGAAGAGAAAGCAAGCTCTGCACAGTCATATTGCAAAGCTACAAGGAAAACAAATTGAATACAAAGAGAAAGGAAAAGTTTTAAAATTATGATGGAAGGACCTAAGGAAGAGAAAGCAAGCTCTGCTCAGTCATATTGCAAAGCTACAAGGAAAACAAATTGAATACAAAGAGAAAGGAAAAGTTTTAAAGTACACCAAAAATTTCTTTTCATTTTCAAGATTTTACCCAATGACAAACTGTCGTTCCTGTGAATGACTTTAATTATAATCATTTCAATGCTTTCCCCCTTTTCTTTATGGAATATTCGAGAAATTAGAACCAACTAGTTTAAATGACTTCATCAATGCTATTTAGGCAGGACCAGTACCTCAAGTTTCAGTTTATTTGTAAACTGGGATCATTACTCTCTGCCCAGAGGGGCAAGGGTCAAATAAAAGGGTAAAAGCATCAGACCAAATAAAATGTCAAGCAGGATGCAAATGATTTATTAGAGTCTGGGACCAGAACAGAAGTTTCCTGGAAGACATTTTGGACAAATGGAAGACATTTAAGACTTTCCTTAACCCTGTTGATACAAGTGGTGGGGTTCCCTTTTGTGTGTCTGAGCTTTTCTAGGAACTAGCAAGGAGTCAAAACAAAGTAGAATTAAAGAGAAAGGTAAGTCTAACCATCGCAGGGAGGCAGGGGAGATTCTATGAGTATGATGGGAGGCCTCCAAATAGCTCAGATCTCTTTGCCTCTTGCATAGTGCTGTAGAACAGGGTCGTGGTGGTCAGAGTCAGCTTTGAAGCCTGATTTATTTTCCAATTGTAAGACCTTGGGCAACTCATTTAACTTCCTGAACGTTTGTTTTCTCACCTTTAAAATGGGTACAGTAAAAGTGCGTTCCTGTGGTTCTCATCATCTGGGGCTCAGCTGCGTTGTCACCTCCTTAAAGTGGTCTCCCTGACCATTCTATCTGAAGTGACCCCTCCCCAGATCCTTTCTATCACATGTGCTTGCTTTAGTCATAGAGCTTAAGAACATCTGCAATTATTTTGCTTTTTCTGCTTTTTGGTTTAGTATCTCTCTTTCAACATTATAAGCCCTTTGAGGACAGGTACTTTGACTTATTCACGGTGCTGTAAGAGTGCTTTATACGGAAGAGTGCCCAATAAATATTTGTTGGTACACAATTAGGTTGCTGTGAGAATAAAATGAAAAAACCCATACTCTTGTGCTCTAAATCCTCCACTCTCTGAAGAAGATGATGATGTTGAAGATTCTGTTTTGGGTATAAAGGAGTGGGAAGGACATGGGGCATTGGCAGCCTCAGCGGGCCTAGATCTTTGTCCTTCCCGCTGATTGGGGGGAGAGTGCAAAAACGGGAAAATGCAATCGGTGTGAAAGAGACGCCAGCGTTAGTTTCCTAAAGAGCATGGCCCGCAAGCCCAAGCCCGTTCCTGGGTGTCCAGGGAGCAGCATCCCCAAGGCCGGCCAGTCCCGCCCCAGCAGCCAGAGCTTCCCAGTACCTCCCCGCCCCCGCGCCCGCGAAGCCAGGGGGGATAATGGGGTGGGAGGAATTACTGAGGGGCAGGGGAGAAGTGAGGGGAAGACAATTAGCAAGGAGACATAGACAAAGGACATCCACAGTTCCTGGCATATAAGAGGTATTCAATTATATATTTGTTGATCTTTAAGCGAATGAATGAATGAATATGTATGCATGTGTATGCTATGAATAACTTTAATAATGTGCAGAATCCAATACATAGTACTAAGAAGCAAACTGGATGACAATTATGAGCATAATA